GGGTGAGTGACTAGCTACATATTTAACAACAGGAGGGGATATTTGAGAGAATTTTTTTTTTTTCTGGATGAGATTTTTTTTTTCTTGTAATTATAATTAAAAAAAAAAAAAACTTTGACCTAGAGAGATGTTTGCCTCCCTGGACATGGGAATAAAGGAGGATAGAGTCCTGCTGGTAGAGGTCTTCTGCAGAATACTTGTTTTGAAAGAAGAGTCTAGCAGATCCAGTGGATTTTTTGAATAACTCTGAGCTTTAAAAGAGAGCATTTGCCTTGTGGTTCTCTTGATCATACAGTTCAGCTGAGCATGAATGACCACAGCAAGCTGTAAAGTAGCATGAGCAAGCTGGCTGAATGGTATTTGCTGATTTTCCTAAACAAGTAGAATAGAAATTGTTAGAGCTATGTGTGAGCTGACCTGGAAATACACTGAATGTAGTATGTGGAGGTAAAGTTTGGAAATGAGGAAGAAATTTAATACTTGACTGGGGGAAAATAAAGATCTTTAATTACCCAAATTGTTTAGGTAGAAAACATATTCCCAGATAAAACAAAATGTATAGGTCTTCCTGGCTTCATGGTTAAAACTGCTGTAAAAAAACAGTTTTACAGCTTCAAGTAAGGGAGTTGAGGGACCATCGGGCCAGGCACTGTGATGCGGGATACTCTGGGTGAAAGAGAGGGAGAAATGCTCCAGGTCTGATCTGATGATGCTGTATCTGCTGAAATCTTTGGTGCTGATAGCTGAGTGCTTTGATGCAGTTTGAAAGCCCAGCTCCTGCAGCTCACATGTGCTCCTGGTCATAAGGCGGCTGTGCTCCCTGGGGTGCTGAGAGCCAATTCAGAGAGCTCCAGTGACCTGCACTACTGTGGGAGCACAGCCAAAATGTGTCTGCTAGGGCGCAGAGGGAAGGAGTCCCCTTGCAGGGTCAGCAGTGCTCCTCATGGGCATGCCTGCATAACCAAAATACATGGCTAGGCACACACAGGGTTTCCCTGGGCAAGGCAAAAATGCTGTGGGGGCCCCTGTATGGTTGTTGAAATAAATGCTGTTCAGCACCCTGTGAAGACAGAATACCTTCTCTGGGTCTCAGAAAATTGTCACCAGCCATCACTACTTAGGTGATGCATTGCTTCCTCTCTCTCTCCATCACAGAGCATTTTGGCTTTTTAGAGCAGAGATTGCACTTTGTGTCAGCCTGATGGAAAGGTGAGCTGTTTATCAGAGGAACTAATTCTCGAGATTTCATTCTGTCCTGTGTGAGACAGTAAACTTAAGAGTGTAGAAATCAGGTAGGCTTTTGCTAGAGGAAGAATCCCTAGTTTCAGCTCTGTGGGTTGAGTTTTGTTTGTTTTGCCCAGTGGTTTTTTGTTATCTTTATTGCATTGCCTCAGTGGAATACACCTATGGGCTCTGCGTGTGCAGGAATATCTGTATATGCTTGCAGCAAGATTCATGACAGGCATTCTAATAATTTTAGGGTGCTCTGGTCATTTAGATCCATTTGAGGTAGTCAAGAATGTGTTATTTGTCACTTGGAAAAATTCTCCTCTGTGAAAAGTTATCTTGCTGGCAGGTGAGGTTGCCAGAGGTTGCTCATCTTTTTTCCCCCCCGAAAAACCAACCCTGAGTGGCACATAAAAGGTACTTGAAACTTCAAAGACCTCATCTGCATAGTTAAACTGACCTTTGTTTTGCTTTATGATGCTAAAGCAGGGAAGGCAGAAGAATTTTACATGGAGAATCTGTCCTGCAAAGTTTTAAATTAATCCAGACTGCTCAGAGGCAGGATAAACAACCAATTGTTTTGTATACAATAGATGCATTCAACAGGATGTAATTAACAGCATTTTGAGGGGAAGAAAATAAAATCTTCAAAACTATATAAGTCACCTATTACATTAGGTTGATCATTGGAAGATTGTGTAATACTTGGATTTTTGCTTTGTTTCTCTAACAGCAGTTTTCTGGCTAGAAAATGGACAAAAATAACCATGAGGATAACATCAACTCTGAATTTGCATGTGTAAATTGAGACTTTCCTCACCTCCGTCTCAGCTCCCCAAATATATATACATCCACTGTCTCTCTCCTTGCCCCCAGCTGTATTTGTCTGGAGGTACCAGTTGCAAAGAAGCTATGGGAATCCATTTCTAATTCTGCCAGGAAGCAGGAGGAGAATTAGCATAGTGACTTTCGTTATGGGAAGCAGGAGGCACTGAGGATCTGGATCCAGAATTAGACATTTCAGTGAACCTGTATAACAAATGGAGGGCCCCAGAGATTTACAGCTGTCTAGTGATAAATTGCTCTCCCAGTTTTTTTCTCAGCAGTTTTGGACTGTAGTTTCAATCTAACACAACAAAATAAGTTAGCTGGAGTCAAGCAGATGCCTTTGAGTTAGGCATGCAGGGATGTGGGAAGGGCTGCAGAAGCTGGGCAGTGTGACCCTGGAGCAGCTGCAGCCATGGATGTGTGCCCTGGGAGGGTGCTGAGCACAGGCAGCTGTGACTGAGGTGAGGTCAGTCTGTGAGTCCTTCTGCCAGCAAGAACATGAGGTCTGTCAGAATGAGGTCTTGCTTTGCCCATCTGGGGACCTGCAGCTCTAAGCATTGCTCCCACTTCTCTCTCTGGTCACAGATAATTCCCAAGGTCTTTGTTCCCCTTTCACCAGCTGCAAAGTGAGGAAAATATCATTAGCTTGTCTCACAGGCCTGGAAGATAAATTCATTAATATTTGTGAAACGTTAGATACCATAGTGATGAGTGCCACACAAAAGCCCATGAGGAAATTAATGATTAGGTATTCAGAGCAGGGAATGGATGTTATGCAGTAAATAAGGTGAGACTACAGGTTGAATGAAGAGGATGAAAAGAAATGTTGAATAGCAAATTTAGTCCCAGAGCAACATCCAGCTTGTGCACTGATTGAAGGAAGGGTTGTTAGAAACTTCCTATTTATAATTGCATAATAAAAATGGTATTGTTCACATGTATACCAGAGGTCTAAAGTAAGGTCACATGTAGAGCATTAAATGTAACATTTTCCTAATATTTGATAGTTTATTCTATATCCAAACTTTGTTTTAATGCATCTCTTCAGTTTTTAACCTAGTTCATTTTGGGAAAGTAATAATATTTCCTGAACAAAATATATTAGGAACTGATATTTCATTCCATATGTATTTTGGGATGAAAAACATGGTACATGGAGAAAACATGTTGCCCTATAACAGTAGTGAAAATTGATTTGAATATGTAGTGAAGTGAAAATTATGTCATCACATGCCCTTCCAGTAACAAGGAACAGGATAATCTGTCAAAGAACCAGACTATTTAAACAGACTAGAAGTAAATTCCCTGCTGGTAACCACAACCTTGAATTTAGCACCAAAGGAGTTTAATTGCTGTAATCTGAGTGTCAAAAGTTGACACTTACTAGGCAAAGATTATTCTTATTACACAAGAGGAAAATCAGCTATTCATGCATGTTATAAAGAAAGAAAAACCTGGTTATGTTCTGTTTGCTGGGTAGGGTAGATAATTGTGGTGCTGCCAGTTTCCATCTCTTATTCCTATGGATGGGACCCATATGTACATCCGCTACAAAGGGCTAACCTCTCTTTGTCACAACAGTCATTCCAGTTAACAAATTTAACAAGCCAGCTTCCTTTTGGAAAGGGTATTATATCTAGATAAATAGCGTCTGGATGCACTATTGAATTACTTCCCTTAATGTTTTTTAACAGTATGTTTGCTGGAGAGTACTTGACCAGCTATGGCAGCAAATATTTTTTGTTGAATAAATTTGACAAATAGTGGTGAAATGTGCCTAATATTTGATGAATGTAGTTTGGCAGGCCCCTCTTCCTTAGTAGATTTTCAAAGCCTTTTAATTCACTTGGAATGATTCCATTCTCTTTATTCCTTTTCTGATAAGTGCATTTATAGGTTATAATAAATAAATCAATCAAGCAATCCTAGCTTTATTCCTTCATCTTTACCATAATTGTCTTCTGAACCTGTTTCTTCTTCCCCACTTGTGCTTTCCTCTCTGAACTCCATGCCATGTTTGCTCTCTCCTCTTGTATTTTTAATATTCTTCATTTCTTCCCTTTTTTCAAATTCTTCGTCCCTTTGTAAAACCAGTGACTCTTATCTCTGATGAGCTTATTTTGGAAAGGTGCCATGTACTTCAAAAGTGTTAACCACTAGGAAATAATGGTGTTGGCAGTAGTCAGGAGCTGTATTTAGATGTGAAATCACTCCTTTCACTGCAGGCTTCTGGTGAAGAAGGACAGTGAGGTCTTCATGATGGTCATGAGCTTCTTGGATATGTTACAATACTGCTTTGACTGGGTGAAATCACAACCAAATTCTCTGTTTTGGTTTATATACACACAGTGTATTTTCCAGTCTCCACACCCATCTGCTTCCAATCCCTTTTGAGTGGGAAGCTACAAGTAGTTGTCAGTTTGTGCCCTAATGTGATGGGGACAGCTCCAGTTTTACCTCCTCCTCATATTTAAGTGTGTTTTGCTGTCCCTTTAAATGCTCAGTGTTCCTTACTCCTGCTCAGCAGGGAGCTTCCTCAAGCTACAGCGCTGTTTCAACACCATTGGATCCTTGCCTTGGTGGTCTGGAAAACACCGGCAGCAAGTGATAAAACCCCAAGTGCTCTCCACTTGGTGGCTTGACTTGAGAAACATCTGAACAGCAAGACAAGTCTTGAAGCACTCCTGCCAGAAATGCTGGGAAACGAGAGGGCTTTGTTTTCATGCCAGTATGGTTTTCTTGCCAGTGACAAAAAGTTAGAAATGTTTCTTCTAGTTGGTTCATTTTTAATTGGCAAACTTAGTCTCTGCAGAAATCAGAAGCAATTGTCCAGGTAAAATGTGTATCTAATTTGCTACATGGGTCTTCAAGCTGTGTTGCCCTTTACTTTAATCCTGTGTTTAAAAAGTGTTTTCAGCTCTTTTGTTTCACTCTATCTTTTGCAGGTAATTAGCGATTGCTTTTATTCCCACAGAGGTGAGGAAAGAGGTCAAAGCTGGTGCCATTGAGCTGAGTAAATTCTCTTGCTGAGATTAGGGTAGAGCTGGGATCGAGCTGCTCTAAGTCCCCAGGTGCCAAGTCAGTCTTTTGCTCACAACCTTGTTTTCTTGCCAGGGGTGAGACACTTCATGGGTCAGGCCCATCTCTAGGATTTGTCTTTAGTGCTGGCAGCTATTGCTGCTGACAGCGGGACAGGAGCTGCCCTGCTGCTGCTGCCAGTGCAGAGTGGATGTAAAAAAACCTGTGCTTCAGCGTAGCCTCCTTCCAGAAAAACAGCATCTATAAAGATTTGGTAAAGTTTAAGCCCTGTCAGTGCCTCACCTTAAAAACTTTGTGAGAGAGCTAGCATGGTGTTCGTGGGAAAAATTTTCTGGGTGAGGAATCTGAATTTTTTTCATTTCACTTCCTTAGTTGAGCATAAGCCCTGTACAGTGCTGGGCAGCTGACAGGCACCCAATTGCTCATATCCATGATTGCCCTGTGCAGGGGATAGTGATTTTTTTTTTTTTTTCAGCTGGTTTTCTTTTATTATTCACTTAGTAGCTGTAGTTATTCCCCTAGGCTGATGCATCCTTGTAACTTATGAAAGAGTGAATAAGAAAGAAAACACTTTCTGTTGTCTGAAGACATATTGATATCCACTGACTGACTCAAGTTTAGGCTGCAATCAAAACAAAAGCTTGTTGTTTTGGTTTGATTTCTTTTTAAAACTAAGGTTGTTAGATTTAGACACAGCTCCTACTGTTCTTGCTTTGTAGAAGTATGGCAAAGGCTTTCTTCTTTTCTTTTTCTTTTTTTCTCACACTGTTATACTGATAATTTTCTGTAGAGGAGAGAAATAGCTAGTCTGGTTATTTTAATATTTTTTTCTGCCTGGACTGATTGGGTGTTGATTTTATATAGTTAGTCATTACTAATGCATGCAATCCATATCTAATATTGTTAACACAAATTTGCACAAAGTTAAATAGAAAATACAGTTTTGCATTGATTTAAAACTTGCTATATAAAGGGAGCTACTTTTATCTGATATTTAAGAATGATGTGAGAAAACTGCCAAGTTTGAAATCAAGACAAACATATTAAGGTAAACACTTCTTTCCCCTAATCTCTATGGCCTCTAAGAAACAGGAGGAGAGTACGATTTTATTTGTGGGTGAAAGTGAAAAATTTCTAGGAAGCTGAACATGACAAGAGCACACACAGTGGACAGTCTGAAACCTGCAGTTATCTGCCTATAGTTATCGTAAGTGTCATGTATGTGTGATAAAGGTCCATAACATTTTGCAGAAGTGCCTATTATGCACCTGTTATGATTTTGCTGTTTATAGTGCCGATTCCTCATATGGTGCTTAGGCCTTTAAAGATGATATGGATGAAATCAGTGTTCTGTGTTGAAACACACCATCACTTCAAGTGAGTTGCTAGGCATGGTCTCTACAGACAAATTATGAGTTTCAGAAGGTTTTTTGGTTTTTTTCTTTTAAATATTAGCATTTTCTTTCAGATACAAAATCAATCTCCTGATTATTCTTTCTTTACAACTAAGTAGTCTAGAATTTTTGTTGGTAGTGTTTTATTTCCGAAACTTTCATTACAGTAGAGCACACAGCACACAGACTTGACTGGTGCACAGAACAAAAAATATACTATAGCCCTTTGTGCTCTAACACCAATGTTTTAGGTGTTTGCTGCGGGGGAATCTACAAAAATCTCTTACCAAAGGCTTTTATGCTCTGGAGATGATCCAGTAGTGACAATTTTGTTTTATATGTTTTGGGAGGTGGGACAAAAATTCAACATTTCTTCCTTTGCTTACAAATAACTTTACCATTTTTGGAATTCACTAAGTAGAATTGGTTTTGATAGTAATACTCTCTAAAAGAGTAATGGAAATGCAATAGTGCAAAAGTCACTCCTTTAAAAAACAAACAAAAACCCAACAATAACCTCCCCAAAAACAGACCCTGAAAAGGAATTTGGGGTCCTTTGCTTTGTACTTGAAGATCAGGCAGCAGTATGAGTGGGGAAGGGGAAAGTTCAGACTCATGATGTGCCTTGGGGTCGTGAACCCACGTCCTATTCTCTTAAGAGAGTCCTAATACCTTGGCTATAAATTATTCTGGGTCATTATAATTTGCTAACAATATCTTCAGATTCTGGGGTCCACAGAAGAGCTATTCTCCCAGAGGGTTCATTTCAGTCACTACCCTGCTCCATGAATATTTGTTGCATATCACAAAGGTGAAGTGCTTTGCAGAGGAGTTCCATAGGCAGTTTCTAGGCCCTTTGTGACTCAAAAAGTCTCTCTAATGATCTATCAAGTGGAATTTTCATACAATTTGTTATTTTATCATTTAGGTCAAATCTTGGCTTTAAAAATCTTTGATTATGCACATTATCCAGCTGGTTGAGTGGAAGTGGATGAACAACACTGGAATCAACCATCTTGGGGAGCGAGTGCTGTTTTTAATTGAAAGAATGAAACTGCAAATGAATCTCCATAACTATGATTTTTGGAGTACTTTAACTATTGATTGAAGTACAAAAGAGATGACATGCTGAAGTGTTGTGTCTCTCCTCTGCCCTTTTCATTTTGAAGGAAGGTGGCAGTCAGCACTGTAGGCTTGTAAGAATCAATCTGATGGTGTTGCAAAGGTCGTGTGCTCAAGACTGAATCCCTCCATTCTCCATCTGCTTTTCCTCTTGATTGACTCCAAGATGGTAAAAAATTAACCACATACTGAATCACTTGGTCTTGCCAAAAATGGCATCCTCTGCACAAAGAAATGCAACTCTTAGGTCTCTGGGGAACTTTGATGTGGAAAAGAGTTGTACCTCTAAAGTTGATGACAGCAAGACAAGTAATCCAGGGACTTCAGTTCTGGACTTTTAAATCCCACTTTAATCCTACTTCCAAATATAGAATCCTTTTGTGGATTTGGGCTTAAGTAATTTCTACCAGGAAGGACAGTTCAACACTGAAATTGATTTTATTTAACAAGGTTGTGTAATTTCAATTATCAGATGTTTTTTAACTTGTATTAGAGGTCTGTCATGATGGATTTATATAAAGTAGACCGTCTTGGAGCAGGGGTTGAACAATATAGGAACTTAAAGTCACTTCTAGCCCTACTTTCTGGAATCTACACTTAGAAAAATTATAAGCTGTTCTTCTGTTCTGGCATGAATGCCCTGTGGTTGGCTTGTTTCTGTGGAATGTAAGTTGAAAATGAAGAAAATCTGCTGAGCATTAGTGTTGGTCTCTCAAGATTTGAAGTCATAAAGTAAGCATGCAAGGCTGTCATAAAATTGATCTGAAGACTCTATTTCACTGTTTACTGCAGGACACATGTTCCATCCTGATTTATATGGTATGAAGTTATGCTTAGGTGTATTCCATCCTCTGGAGCAAAGCCACTGAGACCAATTAAGTTCTTTGGAATAATGAAGGCACAAATGGGAGTGGTATTTGACTCATTGACTTCTCTAGGACTGCATAAATATGAATTGGGAATTGTCGGATCTCAAGATCTCAGTCCTGAGATGCTGAGCCTCCGAGACCCTGGGGGGGCTCGGGACTCCTGGAATGTTGCCAGAAGTGTCTGGTAGCTGGACTTTAACCCTACACAGGAGACGACAAGGATGAGGGCTTCAC